GATAACTTCAGATAGGGACCTACTGCAGATGATGGCTCCTGAGCCTGAGGCCAGACCATAGGCTGGAGGGACGGGGTCTTTCATCACTACAGAATTGGGAAGAGGTCTGTCCATTGCCCAGATGCTCACTTGGCACCCAGTCTAGAGAGCCCCGTGATCCGTCGTCAGTTCCCAGCCTGGCCCCAGGTGTGTCCCCCCACCCAGAGGTCTCCCAGCTCCAGCCTCTGGGGAGAGGAGCGAATGGGCAGAGCTGAGCCTCACCCACCCTCCCCAGGCAGCCACAGGTGAAGTCCCCAGGACAGAGCCTCAAAGGTAAGGTCCCAGACAGAGAGAGCTGAGGCTTTGATCTGGGACAGCAGACCCATTCGCAAAGGCTGACTCCCCAAAGTGGGGCGTCAGGCTGGGCCCATTTGCTCAGCTTTGCCAGGTCCAATGCCCACTGAGACCAGTCAGCCTTCCTCTGGTCCCGGCCCAGGGAAGCAGCCTGTACAAGTGAGTGTGTGGAGGGCTTCACGCAGCCCAGGCCCGTAGAGAGCACAGATCAGAGAACCAAGCCTCCTTCCTGCCGCAAAGCCAGAAGCAGGCCCCGTGTGGGGCACAGTGGGAGGAGCCAGGAGGGTCAAAGTAGACTCAGCCCAGATCTCTAAGGCCTGTCCTGGGCAAGGGTGGAACCAGAACCAGAGCCACTGGAGGCAGATTTGGCTCAGAGTTTCTTGCTCCTGCAGCCATCCACTCAGCAAGGCGGCTTTGTCAGGTGGTGAGGTCCCCATCACTGGGGGTTCATGCAAGGCCAGGATGGCCTCCTGCCAGGGACAGTGCTGAGAGGATGAGTGAGGGGAGGTGCCAGGTGGGTATGGACACAGGCTTGGGTCTTCTCCTTCCACCTGCGGTGTGACTTTGGGTGAGGGATATGACCCCCCGAAAGCCTCTGCTCCCTCATCTGCAAGACGGAGGTGATCACACCCACTTCCCCGGCTTTGTTCAGCTCCCGGCAAGAACCACTTAAAGCCCCTTGTGACCATTAAGCCCCTTCCAACTCTGGGTTTCGCCGAAATAGCAGCGTGGGTAGAACCCTGATGGGCAAGGGACAGTGACCTTGAGGGGATGGATGAAGAGCCCTGAACTGTGAGACGTATTCATGGGGACACAAAGGAGTCAGAGCCATTTGGGCAGACAGAGGCAGTGAGAGAGGAGGAGGCTTTAGGCCCCTGGTACCTGATGCCAGGTCTGGTCCCCTGGCTGGGTGTGGGCATACACCAGGGGAGGGTTCAGGTACATGCCAGAGAAATTGGCTCTGTCTGCTCATAGAGACAGGCACAGGTCCCAATGGCCTCCAACCTGGGCACAGGCTGCTCTGGGGACATACAGGCCATCTGGGATTGGGTCGCTGTCATTTCATAGTTTTCCTCTCGGCTTGATGGCCGTAATTCACCATCAGCAGAGCTTCACATGGGGACAGAAGTTGTCTAGAAATCCCCCCCGGGCTGGGGCAAATGAGATTTAGTGAACCAGATGGTGTCCCTCGGGGCGGGGGGAGGGGCGGGGGAGGGCTAACGGCAGCCAGAGCGGGCTGGGGAGAGGAAGGAAGACCGCGGGACAAACTTGCAGACTTCCAGGCCTCCTGTGCCCTGCCCTTTCTCTCACCCATCCCTGAGGCATCCCCTGTGAGAATGAGTTTCTGGCAAAATGGAGGTGAGAATGTGGTCCCATGCACATCTGAGAGCGGAAGGCTAGAGCCACTGGTCCCTAACTCGCCTTGTCCCATCAGCCGGCAAAACTGCCTGCCAGCAACAGACCTGCAAGTGTGACAAGACAGCTGCACTCTGCTTTCGCCAAAACCTGGCCACCTACAACTACAGTTATGCCCATTACCCCAACAAGCTGTGCTCAGGACCCACCCCGCCTTGCTAAGGCTGTGCTCGCCAATTCCCTGCGCGGTCCCAGGCCCCCACCTCCTCCTGCTGCAGCCCCAGCCCTGGGGAGCCTTGGCACCGACGGCCCTCCCTCTGGAAAGTTCCCTTCCTGCAAATCCATCCCTCCCTGAGAGCCCTCACACTACGCTTGGACCATCACTGGCTTCCTAGGTCACAGCCTCCCCGTAGGAAGAGCCATGGCCCAGGGCCCTTCAGCGCCCAGAAGACTCTGTAACCCACCCCTAGAATATCAGTTCCCGCTTCTGAATAAGTGAATAATATTTCCCATAATTCTAAATATTCTCTGATTCTCAGATTCCATCATTGTAGGATTTGATTAATCTACAGTTTCATTCATTCATTCATTTTTTTGAGTACCTCCAACGTGCTAGCAACACGCTAAGCACTGGGACACAGCAGGAACGAATCTGACATGGGTGGCCCTGTGTGCAATTCCAACATTCTATCCTTTTAATTTTCCATTATAACAAGTTTCTGTGATCTCTTTTTCTAAAATTCTACAATCTTATGCAAGACAATAATGGCAATCACTGGAAGGAATATTCCTGACCATATGACAGAATGTGAGAAGCATGAAAAATATCACCCAAAAAATATTGTCCCCACTGTGTCATCAGGCTTCAAATCCCTCCCATTAGCAGATAGGCTAAGAATGGAAAGAAATTCTAGAATCATCCTCTTCAAATCCCTCCTTTGACAGACGCATCTGGGGGCAAGAGAGAGGAAGTTCTACCTGAGGGGCTGTCCTAAACCCCAGGCCAGTGGTGTCAGTACCAAGCACCGACACTCTGAGCCTCTGGCTGTCTGTCATCTTGGCTAGCCCAGAGTGCCCAGGGAAGGTCTCCTGTGAAGATGCCCAGGCCAGATCGGGCTCCTGATACAGGGAGGAGAGAAAGAAAGATTTCAACATCGCGGGGCTGACCCTGGTGCTATGAAGAATTTAAAGCACAGAAGGACCCCCAGGAGGCAGACTGCAGCCTATCCTGGAAGCAATGTGTTGAGGCAGATTCTCCTCCTAGACGTAGATATAATACCTCCACTATCTATAATATGCTGATGAAATCTTGCGGGATTGGAGTGAGCCTATTTAATGAGCTAAAGCATGTAAAAGGCATTGCTTAGGGCAAACGTCACAGTGGACACGTGATAAAAGAAGAAATCAAAGGGATGGTCGTCATAACTTTAAAAGATGAAGAAGTTCTGTGGTGGCAAAAAATGGGGTGGGGGCAGGTGTGCGGGCTTTGCTACTGTGACTGACTCAAATCCTTGGTAAAACGAAACAAAACAAAACACCAAACGATCAGGTCTTAAAGTAAAAATGAGTTACTGGAGGAAGAGCCACATGTGCTGGGAAAAGTGGTCCTGAGGCGCCCTCTGGTGTCCATTTTATTCAGGCTACTAGGAGGAAGCCTAGATTTGCCTTAAACTGGCATTTACCTTCGTGGGGATGCGGGCAGAGTGTGCTTCTGGGCCAGTGGAATCGGTCCCCTTGCATTTTCAATAATAAATACGCTAATAAATAACCAAATAAGTCCTTACACCCATCTTAGAATGATGGTGCTGCTGCATAAATGGGAAACACAGGAAGAAGGAACTGATTTGGGAGAGATGGAGAGAAGTTATGCTCCGGGCGTGATGGATTTCCGGTAGCAATAGGAAAAGGACCAGGTGATTCGGCAGTTGTGTAACCATCCGACTAAGTAAAAATGGAGCTGGAGAACAAGACTCCAGTACACTGTCGTGACCTCCTGGCCTCAAGCCAAGTGGTATCCTTTGCTTTCCCAGGGATCAATAAGTATTTGGTGAATGAATCAATGAGTCTGTCTAAATTCTATTCGTGTGTGAGTGTATCTCTAGCACACATACTTGAAGACTTGTGGAAAGGGCTGAAAAAAGGAAAGACAACCCCGAAACTGAGGTCAGAGGGTCCAGGGACAACCTCTGCGCTGTCACTTAGCAGAGTACGTCAGCTCTAGAGCTCCGCTGCTCAGGGCGGCCCACGGCCAGCAGCAGCAGCAGCAGCATTGTCACAGAGCTTGATAGAAATGCAGAATCTTGGACCCAACCCCAGAACTGCTGAGTCAAAATCTAAGGTTAACAAGACTCCAGATGATTTGTATGCACACTAAAATCTAAAACGTGCTGATATACGGCCATGTCCTCAGTTTCCGCATTTGTAAAATGTGACGGTGACACTTCCCTGGCAGGTTGATTGTGCCAAGGCTTAAATAAATTAGCATGTGTGAAAGTGCACAAGATAGGGCCTAGCACATAATAAGCATTCATGTTCTATGAATGAATGAATGAATGATAGTTATAATAACAATACTATCTAACATCTATTAAGTATTTGGCATCTACCAGACACTGTTCTAAGTGCTTTATATTTATTAATTCATTGGAAGGAAAGAAGGAAGGAAGGAAGGAAGGAAGGAAGGAAGGAAGGAAGG